ATGAACAAAACCCATAAAACCATTAAAAGGTCCCAGATGCTGTTTATTTTTACTGTCGAAGGATATGATATACACAAAATGAATAAGCAAAGAGTCGTGAGGTTTCTCGAGCTGAATAGATATTCGACATTGTACTGCGTCAGCAATGATTCTCTCTCTCTCTCTCGCTGTTAAAGAGTCAAAGCTTTCCAGAATTCGGAAAATATTATAATATATATAGTTAATACTGTAAAATCGATTCTATATAAAACTCGTCGGTCGGGATTCAATTCCCATTGAATTTATTTTAAGACAAAGATTAAGTTATTGTGTAAAAATTCAGAAAGCCCGGAATCCGACAGACTGTCGTCGTAATAATAATTCCCATACGTCTTATATAAAAAGTTCACGTCTCGACCGGCCACGACCTATATCAATGGTTTTGAAAACTTATCGAAATCTCGGAAAATATGGCGTAAATTATGCCTACGTAGGCGTCATTATTATACGTCACGTGAATTTGTGACGTGCACCGTCCCTACCTGTGAATCCGTGAAGAAAAGTCGATTTATTTATTTTTGCATAAAAAAATAATCATTTGTCGTCTTCGGTTTGGCGCGTATATGCGCACGTAGATGACATCCCATACTGAAAAGTTATATATATTTCTAAACATTTTCCACAATTTGTTACTAAACCATTTTTATATTGTAGTAGGTTTGTATTATAATATACTGTAATTTAAATGTTTGAAATATGTGACTTATATTATAAATATATTTTCATTTTGTGATGTGATGGCACAAAAAAAATCATAGAAAATATACAATTACGTCAAAAACATACCACGACGCTTGGTCTAGAAAATATTTTAGTACCTTTTTCTAAAAAAAGTAATTGTACAAATATTATGTCAAATGTGATAATATTAAATTGTAAAAATGTGTTTTTAATTATTAACCATTCTATTAGGATCTTATAAGTATACTCAGTTGAGTCGGGATAACTCGAACCTTGATAACTCGAAAAATGTGTACAACTTAATTTGTTTTATTTCTCGTTCGGTTAAATTCGAGTTATATATCTCGAAGTGATTTTTTATCTCTCTTCAACTTTGAGTTATCACAACTCGGCTGTAAAATTACGAGTAACTGATTCATCGTGAAATAATTTTGAACTTATCGACCAGGGGTGATATGGTTGTAAGCGAATGTGTTTCGTGTTTATTGTTATATATTATTAAAAATTTGAAACTATTTCCGACGGCACCTGAGACGGGTTGTAGCCTATTTTTTGTATTCTTTCATAAAGATAACGGACCCCACTGAATAAATTCGTGTGGGGTCCTAATTTAATAAAAATAAAACTGTATATTGTACCAATCGGTATTTATATATGGTTTGATGATACTCTTGAGCAAATAGACGAATTCGTCGAAGATTTAGAACTGGAACAGTGTTTACCAACTAATTCCTACCAGGAATTTGTCAAATACGTCCTGACAACAAATTATACATGTTATAGATACCTCGAACTCGAAACAATATAGGTATCATATATGACCATATCTGACCTATTTACATATTTATTATTGTTTCATAATACTGAAAGAAGAACAGCAGAATACATTAGGATAATACTTAGTATAATATAACGTAGTCAATTTATATGTTATAATTAAAATATCTGGAGTTTTAGTTCAAAACTCAAAATATTTAATTAACACTATTGAGTGAACATCTGAAATATCAAATGATGACACTCGTAAGAAACGTATAAAAGATAAATGTAATAGGACCCCCCATAAAACTATAAATATCAATATTTTTTAGATAAATATGATGATTAAATTGAATTTTTTTTAGTAATCATTTAGTTGTAATCTGAAGAGAAATGAACAGTACATTATTAAATATTAAAATATTGTTTGATTAATTTTAGTAGGTATCTATATTGAACAACAATACGTGTCGGACTAATATCCTGTCTGCCCAACGTCCGAGGTCTGCCCGGTATCCTGTCGGCTCAGCGTCGTAACCACACCTACCAAAACACGGATGTCACAGGCACAGGTTTAGAGTAGACAATATCCAGAGTGGTCATTCTCATTATATACCATTCACCAAAAAAAATGTCTAAGGTCAACATTTTAAGAACTTAATTTCTTAATAATATAGTTGGGTTGATCGGGAAACACCTGGGCCCCTAACACAAATTCAGCAAAATACCTATTATCCGGCAACCACATTTTTTTTCCAGTTACAAATTGTAAAATTATAATTACAAAAATACCAAATAGTTTTCTAATCAAAATGTTAATTACCTAATGGTTGTGATGCTGGAAATAACGTAATCCTAACACCCCGAACTCAAATCCTAGTATTCCGGGGCGTCTGTGTGAATAATAAATTTACTTTCGTTGTAATACGATTTCTTGTGGCTTGAAATTATTGTAACATTATATTCACAATAACAAAGAATTTTCAAGTCAAAATATTTTTAATTAGATACCTACCTAATTTAAGTCCGACGCACAAATTAATAATAATGTTATACTCCTCAGAAGTTTATGAATATTAATATTATTATAAAAAAAATAAATATTGTCAGATTCGTCTTTTTTGTTTTTATAATTATTATTATACTCATTGCCTTTATAATGTATTGAATATTGATTCATAATTTTTGGGGTTCCAGATGATTTTTTAAAAAATACAATTCATACACTTCTTTTGAGGATATATTGTTAATTTATTATTTGAGTAACAATCAACTATTTTATGTTAATTTTTAAGTGCATATTTCTCGGTGAGCACACTTGACAAAAATAATGAAGGTTTATGTTCTCGTTGGATCCACGAACGAAACCAGGTCAGCGGGTAGATACACTCATTGCCAATGATATACATATACTTCCTACTTCTATAAGTAGATACTACCAAGAGGCTTATTATTTTTATTCAACAATATAGTTATTTTTATAGTAATATTAGTTATTATATGTTTTCGTCACAATAGATCGTCTGCTGTTACAGTAATTATTATTGATAATCGGATACTTTTAAACAGAAACTCATATTACACTTTAAACCTGAGGAAACCTAATCGAATAATAAAAACACGTGGTGAAGCGGATCCTGCAGGGAGATGGCCCGAGGGACAGTTAACTTCCCCCCAGGGGATCTCTCGATTACACAGGAGAGAGCACCGCGAGAAGAACTATCTATGACACACTGACATTATAGTTCCTAAGTAATATCAAAGATACCATATTCTATGGTAACATACGATATCACAATGATTTCAGCACTATCTTGTCGAATGTGCTCTACTGACAACATTGCGACTGCGTATTACGCTCTACTGTTTTTGCCACCATACAGCAATAATTAAACAATATTATATTATTGTAAGTTGTAATTTAGTTGTGAACGATGTAAAAGTGGTTTGAATTATATAATTAATAATACTAGGAGTTATTTTAATTCGGTAGTGCATTATCGTATTATTAAAAATTATTAAATTATATCAACGGCACTGTCGTCTTCATCTCGTTGTTATTATCACTTAAAAATATACGCTTTTAAATTATATTCTTTTAAAATATTCTTAACAATTAGAAATAAAAAAATAATTAGAAAAAGAAATTAGATATTTTTGTCATTGTAGCAAAGTGTTCTTTTATTGATTCCTTTCCTTATCATATTTACATAAATAAATAAAATTATATTATTTGTATAATATGATCCTTGGGAAACATATGTCAAGAGCTGAACCGCACATATCGTTTCACAAATTTTTAGACTCAGGGTCCTCCACAAACCTTTTATCTTTGACCCCACATATATATATGTGCCTTGAAATCCATCGTTGTAATCGCGTGGCAGAACGTATACGACTAAAGGATAGCGTGATTTCGGTGCAAGAAAAAAAACGTTCCACGTACGTGGCCACGAGAAAAGTGTTTGGGAATCTTCACGCGACGACCGTCCTTAAATATCCATGGTAAGCGTATAATATACTTTAGGACGAGTGATTATTATTCGCACATTATATTCGTGTGAGTTGTCTTGTCGTGCGTACACACTATTATTATTATTATTGTTGCGTGTCAGTGTGCGGTTTCCGAGGTGCGATAGTGTTGGTATCGGTATGAACCGATTAGATGTCGCGGCGATCGATCGTTAACGATACGCTTTCAATATATCGACTATAATAGTCTAGTTTCGAACCATGCCACGGAAAGCACACTACTGGTGCGCATCGCGTCTTAGCTCAGGCTAGTGTTTGAATAAAGTTATACAGTCCACAATAAATAAAATACCATTCTTTACTATAATCAAATGTTTATACTTGCTTACCACGTCCCAACATGGTCCTTCGAACCGGATTCGTAAAATTATCGTTCGTCCACGTGGTTTAAAAGGAAGTAAAACGTAGTGGCGTAGTGCGTGCCTTTAACAGCTAAATAAATTAAGTAAAATAAATTAATATTACGCTCAGTGTAATCGTGCGTTTCATGATCATCGTTGATCTATCGTTCGTATTCGTAATCGTTATCCGTTAGTAATTCGTTAACTTGTAAATCGTTAATCGTTAATTAATAAAAATAGTTAGTTCGTGTCTCAACTCAAGTACGAGGCTTTAAAAATAAAAAAGATTATTTTCAAAAGGTCAGCCAACCAGTACACCATAGATTGTCTCTCGAGAAGAAGTCCAATTTGCAGAGCTGGAGCCAAAAAAGTCGGGTAAGAGTTTAGCCTATTTCCTCCAGTTATTTAATATTTCTTTCCCTAAAAATAAAGAGTGAAATTCCCGAAAATTAGGCAAGCTAGCGTAGGTCACAGTACAATATATAGCATATTAATCGAAATCCACGCGCGCTTATCTGAGCTTATCTGGTATTTGCTGATTAGGTCCGTCGAGACAAACGGCACAAAACACATCGCCGTCGCGGTCGTTAACATAGGTACTCAATATCACTTTACCTAATATTATATTTTGTACGACGGTATCATAATATGGGGGATATTACTGCGTTGACGGCGCGACGCGGCCAAATCAAGGCCGTCTTGACGCGATTTCAAACTTACATTAGATCGGCCGAATGTAACATAACTCAAGTTGTACCACGGCGTAAAAAAGTGGAAGAGGCATGGTATAATTTTGAAAGTGTACAGTCGGAGATTGAGGTTTTAGATCATGCAAATCACACAAATCATTCCGAATACAGAGAAGACTTCGAAAATTTGTATTTTGAAATTATCGCACAAGCTGAGCAAATGACGAACACCAATAGACCGGAAATAAACACGAATGAACAAGGGGAAGCTTCCCCGCGAATGTCATCGCGTGTAGGTAGCAGCGGTCCCGCGTCATCGACAATTAAACTGGCCCCGCTAAACATACCAGTTTTTAACGGAAAGTACGCGGACTGGACACCGTTTTACGATATGTTCATGGCGTTTGTTCATACAAATGATAAAATAACGCCGATACAAAAATTTTTTCATTTGCGTGCATCTTTAAGTGACGAACCTGCGAGTTGCATTAAAAATCTTGAAACAACGGCAAACAACTACGAGTACGCTTGGAAAACGTTAATATCGAGATATAGAAACGAAAAATTATTAATTCAGTCACACGTTAAAGGCATATGTGAGTTAAGTGACGTAAAAGAAAATTCGTCAAGTAGTTTAAGACAATTTTCTGACGCATTACGGGGTCATATGTCCGCGCTAGAGGCGTTGAAACAACAGCCAAGTAACTGGGGCCCACTGTTGACGCATATTATTTGCACTAAGTTGGACGCGATCACTCTAAGTGAATGGGAGATGAAGTCGCCAAAAAATGAAATTTCTAAAGTGGAAGATTTAGTATTATTTTTAGATGCGCGTTCACAAGTTTTGGAAGCAATTGAGTCGTCAAAGAACATTTCTAAAATCGTTGATTTGGGCTATGAAAACAAAAATGAAAATCGAAAAAATAAGTTTGGTAAAAACAATAACATTACTACATCGTTAGTATCTACATCGGAGATAAAATGTTATGCATGTGACTTGTCACATACAATCTACAAGTGCCCTTCATTTTTATCGTTAACAGTAGCCGAGCGTATAAAAAGGGTTAATGTACTAGGACTCTGCAAGGTATGTTTGCGCAAACACGAAGTTAAACGCTGTCTTTCGCAAAATAATTGTTATAAATGTCATAAAGCACATAATACGTTACTGCATTTAATTATGCCACAAAAATACAATGCAAAGAATTCGGATGAGGCTTCAAATAAACAAGCAGCAAATACATCGACAAGTGCGCATGCGTCCAGCGTCGATCACGAGAACGTACTATTATCAACGGCCGTCGTGCGAGCAATAGGGAAGTGCACAATATCAGTCTTATGTCGATCCCTATTGGATTCGGGATCACAAAGTAATTTTATAACTGAAGAAATTGTTCAAGCCTTGAAATTAAAAAAAATTAAAACGAATCATCAAATAAACGGTATAGGTGCTATTACGCAACACGCGCACTCATACGTACACGCGCGTTTCGAGTCCCGTTTCAATAATTACAATTTTTCGTTAAAAATGCTAGTGGTTCCAAAAATTACAGGCGACTTACCGGCAAAAAATATTACCGATCTATGTGGTATGCCGGAAAATATCAAGCTAGCCGATCCGTTATTCCGCGTTCCTCAAAAAATAGATATTTTAATTGGTGCCACGCACTTTTATGATTTATTATGCGAGCGACAAATAAAACTACATCGTAACGGCCCGGTGTTTCAAGAAACCAAGTTGGGTTGGGTTGTATCGGGGCCGGTGTCGAGCTTAGAACGTGAAACTGAAATGACAAATAGTACCGTTCATCATACTACATCGACACACACGGAATCAATTTTGGAAAATACATTACCTTGTTTCTGGCGTATGGAAGAAATTATAATTGATGCCCCATTAACAGCAGAAGAAAAAATATGCAAAAAATATTTTGACGATACTGTGTCGCGTGGTAAAGACGGACGTTTCATTGTGCACCTGCCATTTCGTAATAACATATTAAAGGTAGGAAATTCATACGATATCGCCAAACGACGTTTTTTATCTCTCGAGCGGCGACTCGAAAATAATACAGAACTAAAAAATGAATATATTAAATTTATGAATGAGTACAAGGAATTAGGACACATGGAACAAGTATTCGACGATGATTACACCAATAACGTCAATACATGTTACTTGCCACATCACGCGGTTATGAAAGAGTCTAACACGTCGACGCGGTTGCGAGTAGTCTTCGACGCGTCATGTAAGTCCGACAATGGCGTAAGTTTAAATGACATGTTATTAAAAGGACCAGTTCTCCAAGATGAGTTACTATTCATTCTTACAAGATTTCGCACGCATAACTACGTGTTATCAGCCGATATCGTAAAAATGTACCGACAGTTTTGGGTAGCCGACAAACATCGAAGTTTTCAGCGAATACTATGGCGGGAGGACCCAAGTGAACCGATTAAAATATTCCAATTAAACACTATTACGTACGGAACAGTACCCGCATCGTTTTTAGCTACCGGTTGCCTGAATAAACTAGCGGAAACGGTACGTAACACACAACCTGAAGTTTACGCCGCGATAACACACGATTTTTATATGGACGACCTCTTGGGTGGTGCTGACACCTTAGAAGCAGCGATACAACTACGTGACGGACTCATTGAAGTTTTGGGATCGGCGGGGTTGGAATTACGAAAATGGACGTCAAATAAAATTAAGTTAATTTCTGACTTGTCGATAGATGTTAATGATGGTAAAAATATCGCCACACACGAAGCTATTAATAATTCGATAATAAAAATACTCGGATTATATTGGAGCTCCAATGCGGACACGTTACAATTCAAAGTACACGAAGAACACCTCAAAGACAGTAAACAAATTACGAAACGCGAAATTCTGTCAAAGATAGCGTGTTTGTTCGACCCACTTGGATTGATCGGACCAGCTATTGTTCGTGCTAAATTAATTTTACAACGGCTATGGCTGTTGAAAGTGCAATGGGACGAACCACTTCCAAATAGTATTCAGGACGAATGGAAAGAGTATAGAACTTCGTTAATGTCATTAAATGAATTGGTTGTACCACGAAAAATTAAGGGTGACGGTAACATAATTAATATTCAAATTCATGGTTTCGCCGATGCAAGCATTGAAGCTTATGGGTGTTGCTTATTTTTACGTAGCACAAATTCAGATGGCGTACACACGTCCAAGCTGATATGCGCAAAATCAAAGGTCGCGCCACTCAAGGTCGTATCGCTACCGCGATTAGAACTATGCGCCGCGGTACTACTGGCGAGACTAGCAAGTAGAGTTATTCCAAAAATACAACTAGACGTCAGCAAAAAATATTTTTGGTCTGATTCGAATATAGTGTTAGCATGGATAGATTCTCAGTCAACAAAATGGCGTACATTCGTTGCCCATCGCGTGGGAGAGATACAAGAAAAAACGTCGGTAGCTGATTGGAATCATGTTGACACGAAAGACAATCCAGCTGACATTATTTCTCGAGGTTGTTGTCCGTCCAAATTAACCAATACATCGTTGTGGTGGTATGGTCCTGATTGGTTGGTAAACGATGAAAAAAACTGGCCTAAATCGAATAAAAACGAAAATATTCTAAATTTAGAAATACCTGAAGCTCGGTCAGTGACCTTAGCTACGTTCGACGCAAGACCGCAATATCCGTCACTGATAAACCGATACTCGTCTTTAAATAGATTATTGCGCGTCGTAGCGTATTGTTTACGTTTTTGTTATAACCTGTCGCATAAAAATTCAAAACTCGACGGTGTGTTAAGTATCGAAGAAATTAACAAAGCACGGATATCTATAATAAAATGTATTCAAAGGGAAGCTTTTGCGCGTGAAATTCGAGATTTGATTAATTTAAATAAGGTAGCCGTATCGAGTAAATTATTCCGACTATGTCCGTTTTTAGACGAAAATAATATTGTACGTGTAGGAGGACGATTGAAAAATGCCTCTACGTTAGACGTCGATCAGCGCCATCCAATCGCATTGCCGGCGGATTGTCACTTTACACGGTTATTATTTGAGTATGAGCATAAGCGATGCATGCATGGAGGTCCACAGGCGACACTATGCTCGATACGCATACGATATTGGCCGATAAATGGTCGAAATATAGCCAGAAGTGTAGTGCATGAATGTGTAACGTGTTTCCGTTATAAACCAATAGTCGTGCAGCCGATTTTGGGCAATCTACCCGCGGAACGAGTAGAACCGACGCGCGCTTTTTCAAGTTGCGGTATTGATTTTGCCGGCCCTTTTATGATCAAGACAAGTGTGCGGCGTAATGCCCCTTTAGTAAAAGCGTATGTATGTATTTTTGTTTGTTTTTCAACAAAAGCAGTACACATGGAATTAGTCGGAGATCTGAGCACACCAGCATTTATTAACGCATTAAATCGTTTTTTTGACCGACGAGGAAGAAGTATTACTATTTATACCGACAACGCGACTAACTTTGTTGGAGCAAATCGCAAAATGAAGGAATGGAGCGATCTATTTCATTCGGAACAAAATAAAAAAAAGGTACATGACGCGTTAACAGACTTCGGCGTTCAATGGCGTTTTATTCCCCCGCGATCACCGCACTTCGGTGGGTTATGGGAAGCCGCGGTCAAGTCCATGAAGCAGTTATTACAGAAGACTGTAGGTAACGCTCACTTGCGTTTTGAAGAGCTTAGTACTGTGCTTACGCGTGCCGAAGCTTGCCTAAATTCCCGACCTATTACTCCTATGTCATCCGACCCAAACGACACGTCCTTTTTGACCCCAGGTCATTTCCTTATAGGCGACTCACTTTTATCGATACCGGAACCCGACTTGTCAAATATACCGACAAGCCATTTGTCGAGATGGCGTCGCGTGACTCAATATTCACGAACTATCTGGCAGAAATGGAGTCGTGAGTATTTGAATCAGCTACAAGAGAGAAAGAGGTGGGCCGGTGCCAAGGGACCTAAACTGGAAGTGGGTACCGTGGTAATAATGCGAGAAGATAACCTCCCTCCATTAAGATGGCGTTTAGCGCGAGTTACAAAGGTTATTGCTGGTGATGATGGTGAGGTGCGGGTCGCTGAAGTCCAAACTACGACGGGACAGTTCACGCGGGCAGTTCGACAATTGTGTCCATTGCCGTTTAAAGAAAACGGCACTGAGTAGATCATTATATAAATTTGTTTGTCTACTTTAGTTCATTTTTTTTTTTTTTTTTGTTTGTTAGAGTCAGCATATAATTGTATTATTATTAATGGTTATTACGCAATCTATTTATTTATTTATTTTTTTTTTTCTTTTGTAATTGTAACATTTATTAAATATTTTTGTCTATCATTTGAAATCAATGTTTCAAGGCGGGCGGCATGTTGCGTGTCAGTGTGCGGTTTCCGAGGTGCGATAGTGTTGGTATCGGTATGAACCGATTAGATGTCGCGGCGATCGATCGTTAACGATACGCTTTCAATATATCGACTATAATAGTCTAGTTTCGAACCATGCCACGGAAAGCACACTACTGGTGCGCATCGCGTCTTAGCTCAGGCTAGTGTTTGAATAAAGTTATACAGTCCACAATAAATAAAATACCATTCTTTACTATAATCAAATGTTTATACTTGCTTACCACGTCCCAACAATTATTATTATTATTATTATTATCATCGTGAGTGTGTCGTGCGCGTGTGCACTGTCGCGTGTAATGTGCCGTCCGACGTTTCGTCTTGACAAACGTCCGCCGCCGCCTCCGCTTTTGGGTAGTATTTGGGTTAATATGTGCACAGGCAGTCATCGTGTCGAGTCATTACAGCGCGAGTCCTGCAGCTGCACAGTGCACGGTCGCGGAGAGCGCCGGAAGAGTCTAGACACTCGGTCTCTCCGGATTCCCATTGTGTGATGTGCTGTGTGCTACCAAACTCAATTGTTATTGTTATGTGTGTCCGCGAACAAAAAAAAAAAAAATGAAAAAAAATATACAACAATAATAATCATGGCGAAAAAAACTACTCGAAAAAGACGAGGAGAAATATATTACATAAAATATCGCACGCACAATAAATATCTGACACAGCGAGCGCGCGTGCGTATATGTATATATGGATCTAGCTAAAAAAAAAAAAAAATTCAGACAATTCTTTTTATTCGGTCCTAAGATTACCGCGCCACGCGCTCCTTCCGCGTTCCTCGGTCAGAGGACAATACCGGATTCAATATTATATATAGTATACATATTATGGCGAGAGAAAGAAAAGGCGGCGGCGTGGCCTTTATGCGGTGCAAAAGCTCGCGAGACCAATTTACGACCTTAACCATTGTTCTGCTCTACACACGAACACCCACCCACACACACACACACACACACACACACACAAACACACACAGCCGGGGAACTATGCGTGGAATTTTAATTGCCCCACGATTTGGCTTTTAAAAACCGAACAGCCACTCGTTCTGCCGCCGGTCCAACGCCCATCATATAATAGCCATTATAGGTCAACGCGAAGAATCCAACTGCTATTTAAACGACATTTAACGACGCCAAGTATAATAATTAAACAAACAGCTTCTTTTTTTCCCACCCCCTTCCCAGTGTTTTTATTGCTAGTTTTGTTTTTGTTGCTGTTGTTGTTGTTGTTATTATTACTATTGTTTTTATGGTCAAAGAACAATATAATATTATTATTATTATTATTAACAAACCAGAATTTATGCGTGTACTCTTCACGCTATTTGGACGCCACCGTTTACGATTTTTCTTTTGACCTTTTTACAGAAAAATGCGACAAACAATTCCACCGATTTTCGTTTCGACGAAAAATAAATAATTGCGACAATGACCAAACGCGCTCTATTTTATAACTTTTGGGTTCTGAATATTCACTCCTAAAAAATATTATCTCGAAAGAAATGCATTAAATGCTATTGAATTCTCTGATTCAAACTTTTTAATATAAAATACACAAACTTCTGAACTCGACCACACAGCTCCAGTAATAATCGTTTATTTTCGACCTTTCATATAATATATTTTGGAAAGAATAAGTACGGTTTTCTTTAAAACTATAAAAATATTTATGAATTCAATAAAATTTCGGGAGATACTTGTATTATGAGTATTATCCGTAATGTTCACTTTTATTTACTTAAAGAATACCAAACTCGCGGTGTTTAAAAAAGATAAATTACGTCATATTTAATGATTTTAATCAAAAATTTTATATCCTATTAACTATAAAAATTTTCAAATCTGCAGACATGATTGACATGATTTTATTATACGTATAATAATAATATGTACACAAAGTTCACGTGATTTAAATAAATTATTAATAATTATGAACTTGCTGAAATCATACATGCTGCGAAGATATTGGGTCCTCTGAAGAATAATAACCCAGTAACGATTACACAAGGTAAAAGGCGAGTCTCGATAACTACTCGTATCTCAAGGAAAATAAAATACGATTTTATTTATGTCCTTTTTGAGTTGTATATCCACAAACACAACATAAAAAAAGGTGGGCAAGTGGGTGTCGCTCTGCTGTACAGTAGGTTACAAGTGGGTCATTGTATAATGGATGGTATTAAATTTGAATTCAATGATATAATATCATTGTATAAGAAAAACGATTCTGAGCGGAGACGGTATGTCCTTCTAGGTAAAAGACATATTATATACATATCTATGGTATTAAAAAAAATTGACCTATAATGAATTCCAAATTAATCATATCACAATATCCATTAGGTACTTATAACGCGTTATACACCAACAACAAACCCTGATACTATCATAGATATATATAGTAGATTACTTTAGAAATTTCAAGTACCCACGAATAATATTATACAATCACAACAAAATAACTAAAATCGTAATTCTTGGTTTAAATATGAAATTTTGTCTAAACTTGAAATTAAAATGTCTGTAAAAAATAAGTGTGTTTATATATTTTTTAGATTTTTTGGTTACAGTATGAATTATTTAAGAGAATCTTTGTTTTAAATTTTCAACTCTTAGTTATAAAAACTGAACATTTTATAATTTTTTAATTCCAACGATTGATAATTTTTGAGATTTTGATAAATTTTGTCAAAATTCCAACTTTAAATGCTTATAAAAAAAAATCGTGCCTATGATTTTTTAAAATTTTTCAACTGATATTGTAACAATATATAAGAAAGCTTGTATTCAATTTTCAGACTTTTTGGCCCGCCAAATAAAATTTTATTGACAATTATAAAAAAAAAAACTAAAAAAATTGAAAACTGAAAATGTCCGTAAACAGCTCAAAAAGAGTCAAAATATTTTCAAAATGTTATCGTGTATAGAAAATGCAAATATAAACAACCAGTGAAAATTTCATGTATCTACAGTTATTCGTTTTTGAATTACAACAAAATAAGGAAATCGCTACATGAGAAATCGAGTGAACATCCAATGTTGTAAAAATTTGAATTTCAAACGCTCATAAAAATTTAATTTGACATTCCGGTAGAGATTTTTTTATTGATAAAGGTAGACAAACTTATGAGTAATCTTATATTACATTTTCAAATCTTAGATTTAAAAAGAAAAATTTTTACGAATTCTTAACTCAAAATAATTTGCTAATTTTCGTGATTTTTCCATATTTTGTCAATTTTTGAACTTTAAATGCTTATAAAAAAAATTGTGACTAAGGATTTTTAATATTTTTCATCTGCCTTTGAAACAACATATTAGGAGCCTTCTATTAAATTTTCAAGCTTTCGCAACCAACAAATAAAATTTTATTGATATTTCTAGAAAAAAAACTAAAAAAAAATGAAAAATGAAAATGTCCCTAAACAGTTCAAAATAAATCAAAATATTTTGAAAATGTTATCGTGTATAGAAAATGCAAATATAAACAACCAGTGAAAATTTCATGTATCTACGGTCATTTGTTTTAAAGTTACACCAAAAACCAAATTCGATTTTTTGGAAAATCGATTTTGCGTAAAAATTCCCGTTTTTCCTTAATTTTTATGTTGTTTTTCCCGGCGCTTGTGAAAACTACTGGAAAATATTTACTTTTGACCCCCCAAAGTACCAACTAGATTCACTTTCCTATCAGAAAAGGTACTATTGAAGAAAATCGAAGCACTTTTACTGTCCCAAAACGTGATGACAGACACAAAAATATAAAAATATAAAAATATAAAAATATAAAAATATAAAAACATACATCATTGTAAAACCAATACATTCATCGCTCCGCTCAGAATCTAAAACTTCAAGACATAAGAAAAAAATTCGAATTACCGAGGTATTGAGACTCGACTGTATACAATTAATTGCAATGTGCCAGTAACTATTAAATGTGTCGTAAACAATTATTACTATGCATTTAAGTGCAGTCAGTGGTCGTGGTCCTACGATGTAAACAATATTGTACCACGGTATATAGGCCCAACTATAACGAATGAAGATGATGGCTGTAAGAAATTTGAACAAAATTAAAGTGCCACCAAATCATGTAGGTGTATGGTCTGTAAGAAAGCAAATTTAAATTATAATATTATATCATAAGCATAACCAACAGTTTAGTACACGTTATACTAAATAAATATTAATTTATTGTGCGTTTACATTTTATACTTCTATAATCTAAATATTTATAGTTATTACTTCTATATAAAATCACTGGGAAAATAATCTAAAATAAGTATTTACATTCATTTTAACACTGCACTGTGTGCAATAATATTATGGTATACCTACTTCGTTAAGAAAAAAAAAATACTTATAAATAATTGTTTTAATACAATATGTACGAAGCATGCTGATTGCTAATCGAATTTTCTTTTTTTCATAAAGACGAGAGCTCATATTATTTTAGTCGCGAAATAATAGACAAGGTTTATCACGAATGTCGTATTTTATGGGATAAAACGTTTTCAAGACAAAAGTAGGTTCTCTCAAAATAATAATAATATACATAAGTGAATTGTATTTGTATACATACAATTTGAGTCTTAGGTATAAAATATGTATATCGGTGTTTGGGAAACGGTGTTCCTCAGCTGGCAAAGGCTAACGATAATATCTACGTGATGCGATGAAAAAAAAAAAATGCCGTTCAGAAATTATGGTTCATAAACTCCGTGGCGATTCGTCGAAATCATATTAAATAGTATTCTGT